GGGGGGGGAGGTGGGCAATTTTGCACCCACTCGGATGTGCCCAAATCCGGCCTTCTCTCTGAATTTGGTAAGGTCTCACCAAAGGGTGTCTATGGGGGCATAAGTGGGGTTGGAAAGGGCTTAAAGGGGCTTAAAGGGGTATGATATAGTTTAGTATTTTTTTTTCCCCCCTCAGATTTTAATCATTTTATAACGAATTTCGGGGTGACCCTCAGCCAAAAGTTGTTTGAATTGCAAGTCTGCATAGTTCTTTTTCAGAGTGTTTTTTTTTTTTTTTTTTTTTTTTTTTTTTTTTTTTCCTTTTTTTTTTTTTTTTCCCGTTCGGGTTGCCCCGGACCTTGACCAGCACTTTGCCAATAATAATGCTGGAAACCAGGTCCAGTGTCCCTTCACATTAATTCCATATTAATTCCATATTAATTCCGTATTACTTCCGTAGTAGGCCACCAGTACATTCATACTGTACCACTTTCTTGCAGTCTGAGGGAGGAAATTTTGGGCCTGCAGTGTACACCATTTTGGGAAAAAGGACGCCTTCCCACGTAGCGATGGTTTAAGCACATTTTAGACAGAACGGTAGATCACAGAAGGCATATGCACGTACTGTGATCTCTCTCTCAGAGCAGACCTTGAAACTCTCGCCCTAGGAGTTTATCCGTGAAGAGTACATCATGTCAAGAGAGAACATGCCAGTAAGATTAGGTGATGTTTCTACTTGCTGCTGATTATCCTCTTCTTGTCTGTTTCTGGATCTATGCTTGTCGGTGACAAGCAACCGGACTGCCGCCCCCCAGAGTAGAAGGGGCTGTCTTGGTTATTAAAAAAAAAAAAAAAAATGAGACCGCTGGCAAATGTTTTTCCGCCTCGGCCCCTCCTGCAGGTTCAGGAGGGGTGACTTCAAACCTTCCCTGTTTTTCCGCTTCTGTTTTTTCATTTCTGTCGCTCCTGCAGGTTATTAAAACTAGGTCCACGGCCACACATACCTTCCCTGGATCGCATGGGGGCATATAGGACAGTCTGGTACTACCATTGTCGCCGGAATAGAACGCCCGGTCATTATATCTGTATTTGGGGCAACTTTCACACCAGATGCTGCAATGATGACCGGGCGTTCTCTTCGGACGAAGACGGTAGCCTGTCGGAGGCCGAGGGGAGCCGTGAAAAACAACTGTGATCAACAACCTCGACAGTGAGATCGCAATCACAACAGCAAGAGCCTGTCTAGAGACAAAACCGGCCTGTCACCACCAGTCCCAAGGGGTGGCAAGTGGAGAATTGGCAAAAAGAGAGGTCCGACAAAACAGGTTCGGGAACAGAGTGGTGGTTCAAACTTTAAAGCCCTGCTGGCTGTGGACGTAGTTTGCATGAGAAGTGCAATGAGAGGGAGGGAAGAACGGAGAGAACGGAGAGAACGGAGAGAAAGGAGAGAAAGGAGAGAAAGGAGAGAAAGGAGAGAAAGGAGAGAAAGTAGAGAAACGAAGTACGCTGTGCATGCAAGGTGGTTGCCCACGTGCAGGTAGTTGAGAGCCAAGTGCCCACACGCATGTCGGCATCCCAGAAGTGCACTCGCACCCCACCAAAGAAGAAGGAGATAGGGATCCAAGTAAGGACAGGGAGAAGCAGCATAGGAAAGTGTAGGAAACAGGGATTAAGGATTAGCGCAGCCTTCCTGGCCATTAGGGCCGCGGAATGAAACGTGTGGTGTGGGTAGTGATAGGGCAAACCAAACAAACATAGAGACTTCAAGGCAACAGTCGCGACAGCTATGTGTAGCAGCTTGGACAGCCCATGGATTCCACGAAGACAAGACAATGCAAACACTCTGATGTTAACAGCAGTGAGGATGAGGATGGGAGAGAGAGAGACAGAGAGAGAGAGAGAGAGAGAGAGAGAGAGAGAGAGAGAGAGAGAAAGAGAACTTGGTCTTCAACGGAGAAGGTTGCAAAGATGAGAATAACAGTACCATCACACAAGTCCAGAACAAAACGAGATGGATTCTGAACGATTCTGAACGGTGAAAGGGTTGGGTTGGCTCCCGTCTTCACCCGAATAGAACGCCCGGTAATTTTCGCCGTATCTGGGCTGAAAGTTGTGCCAAATACAGCTATAATGACCGTGCGGGCGTTCTATTCGGGTGAAGACGGTAGGGGAAGCAGGCAGTCCTACCTTCTTGAGATTCCTCAGCTTCTCGGCCTGCTCCTTATCCCTGATCTTCCTCGTTTTGAGATGAATCTCTGACGAATCACAACAAAGAAAGCGCATCCAGCAATCATGGCAGCCAAAGTTATCCTCAAGTTAAAAATGCCATCCCATCATTCTAAAGAGCAAGCAACTGCTGCTTTCGATCTTCGCAAAGAGGCAAACCAAGCAGAAGAATACTGATCGTGCTAAGTAAAGAACGTGGATGCCTCTGCTCCACTGAAACTACCGGTAGTGGAGAAGAGGGTAGGACATCCCAAGGTGACAAGCGTCGTCTCAAAGAAACAAAATTATCAATCTTGATGATCCACCACGTGCTCTCAGAAGGATACTTGCACATCATCCATGAGCTCGCAAAGAAACAGCCTTGACTGTTGATGTCAACTCTCAGCTTGTACAACAACAAACGACGCTTAGATGATTAGATGGATGATTAGATGATTAAATGATTAGATGATTAGATCAGAATGCAATTGCATTCCAGTTCTAAGTGTTTTTTTCCCCTCCTCCTAAGATCTGCTCTGTGTGTGAGTGCCTCTTTCCTGTTGACGTGGCTAGATGATTTTCCAAAAAGGATGATGGCATGTGCAAGGGTGTGCGGGGGCCGTCTCCATGACTTCATTTTGAGCATGTGGTGTTATTTTTTCTTGTTTCGGTAGTCCAAGTGGCAAATGGGTGCCTTACCACTTGGTGGCACGATTCGCACTTTTTGATTGTTGCCACCAGTCCCAAGAGGATAGATCCAAGTGTGTGGATTGGAAGGAGATAGATCCAAGGGTGTGGGTTGCAAAAGGATAAATCAAAGGGTGTGCGTTTGAAGCGGATAGATATGCATCGGTGTTAATTGATCAGAAGGGGATAGATATTCAAGGGTGCTGTGGATTGAAAGGGGATAGGTATTCAAGGGTGTTGTGGATTGAAAGGGGATGGATCCAAGGGTGCTGTAGATTAGCAGAAAGGATGGATATTCAAGGGTGTTGTGGATTGAAAGGGGATAGATATTCAAGGGTGTTGTAGACTGGGAGGGGGTAGATATTCAAAGGTGCTGTGGCT